GACAGTCTATTCTACTGTTGTAGCTGCTTTCTAAGGGAAACAAATTATGAGACGTATAACACCTTTTGTTTTGATGTATAAGTTCTGGAAAGTATTTAACTGAATACAATGGAAAAGTTCATCTGGGCTTTAAACAATTGGTTGTGAAATATTGTAACTGAAAAATGATAGAAAGCTCCAAAACCTCCAATAAAATGGTCAGAATAAGGCATTTCCAGACCTATGCTCTTGGAATTTTAAAGACAAATATAGCACTATATCAAGTGAGACATATCTTTTATTATTCGTTGGGACTTGTCTGGTAGGCTTTTATTTTTATCTGGACTTCAGATAAACTCAATTTCATAGACTTTTTTGTATTGTTTGTGCAGTACTTATTTATTGTTTATGTAGAGAGGGCTGAGGAGCAGCCTGGGTGTGATAGCTAGCAGGGTCAAATTTGGGTCAGAGCTGAAAAGTAATACAGACTAGGTCTCTGAGACTTCCCCCTGTTCAAGAACGTTGGAGAAAGATCTAGAAACAGTAGGCAGAGGTGAGGAGTGGCTAGTCTGTACTCTTGGAGGATCTTGGCCAATCCCCAAAAGGAGGCTTGGCAGGGGCCAGGGCAGCTTTAAGAATAACCAAGCCTGCTCAGCAAAAGAGTGAAGAGAGAGTTCGGTTGGAAGATGGAGAAGAAGTGAGGCTGAAGAGCAGGATCATGGGAGGGAGCCCAGATGCAAGAGGGATCCACCTTCAGGCAGGAAGCTTGGAAGAAAGAAAGCTTGGGACTTCACAGGCCCCCTGAGAGAGGACCACGTGTGGGGCAGGGAGGAAGCGGCCCAGCTAGAAGGCCTGGTAGCAGACACCAACCCACCAGCAACACAGAAGGACAGAGAGAGTAGATCTGCACCCCCTGGGCCAGATAGGGGAAGGAGCACTCTGCTGGGAAACCAGATTAGCAACTACCCAGGACTGTCTTACTTTAAAGTTACAGGCACTGGATCCCCTGCTCATGGATTCACCCAGAATCCAGTATCTAGGGTCTGGGGTGGTACAACTGTAGACGCTGGCTAGCTCTCCAAGAAGAGGAATTTGTTTTTACTGTAAAAAAAACTTGTATATAGTTCTAGGAAAGTTTCTCAGTTCTATTGGGCATCCTGTACGGGTTTACTACATCCAAGTTATCAACCCCTCAATAATATCACAAAAACAAAGCTCAAGGACTGATTACTGTGTCCTGGATGCAAGTCTGACTGAATGGGCTGTCTCTTTGCTGAATATATTTGTTTTTTGTTTTGGAGTTTTAATTTTCTTTTTTTTTTAGATCTGCTAGGGGAGGATAGCTTGGGGGACTTTGAAAAGGTAGTGCAGTTAGTGTTAGTGTAGAGTCCTGCTTAGAAGAGTCTAGCTTATTGTGGTTGCAGGCTTCATTGTTTTTTTACCAAAATATAATTCCTTACTGGTAAATCTTGAAAGCACTGATGACTTGGAATGCACTTTTCATTTTCATGTATTAGGAGTGTTAACATAATTGGGTGCACTGAAAGACTTTGTGGGATGGCCAGTGGGCAGATTCTGTTGGGCGGCCAGGCCTAAAGCTGTGTAAGGGGCCCCAAAATTTCTGATGGCTGCCCTGGATAATACTAAGAAGCTTGAGAAATTAACAGTGTCCTCGTGTTGCTACATTGTGTTACACAGCTCCCCTGATCTCCATTTAAGTTTCTTCAACAATAAATATAAAAAAAAGCACCTCCAGACTGATCAGTGACCTGGACAGTGATTGTTGCTGTGTGCCTGGCTGCTGTTGCACTAGTTTGGGAAAGGAACTTCAGGACAACTCAGCGGACCCTTTCAGGAGTGAACGCTACACCTATGTGTTTTGTTCAAAATGGACTAGTTCCCTAGACAAAAGTAGAACTTTAGTCAGAAAATTAAGTCTTGATAGGTTACTTCATGCTGGCCGCTTTTGCAGCTATAGCTATGTAAAACATTAAAAATAAGTGCCTATACTGTTTAAACTCGAATAATGGATGGTCTCATCTTGCTCTGCACAGCCTCAGTTTTTCTCTATTCTTGGTACTGTGCCTAAAATCAGAGTCAATGGAGGCCAATCAACTTATAGCATAAGAGTGTGATTTCCCCACAGTGTGGGTGCAGCACATTGTACCCACGGTTTTTGTATGGATTACCTACGCTTTCCAATAGACTTCTATTAGACTGGGCATTCTTGTTGCATTTCCTGAAATTGCACCAAACGTCTTGCATGCTGCGTCCTTGGTGTGCTGTCAGAAAAAGCACCAAAAACACCTGATCTATAAAAAAAGTCTATGGGAAAGCGTTGGTGACCCACATGAAAAATGTGGGTACACTACGCTGTGGGGAAACTGTAGCAGGGCACTGTGAAGGGGTCTAAATATTTACTGCTACTCAGGCCTTCTGGTTTTCAGCAAAATGACAGCCTCTGGCAAGGAACAAGCAGAAGCAGTGATGGAGGCACATTACAGAACACATTGGTTTTGGTGGTAGCATAATTATTAATGTGTAATGTATGTTCCTTGCTAAAGAACATAATTTTTTTTATCAAGTTACTATGGGTAAAGTTCTACTTTAAGTGCATATAGCTACACTTTGTTGCCTTCAGTGATATATAGTTTAAACTATTGTCAAAATGGTTTCCACTGAGGATCAGTTGGTTGTGACCCTATTAGGCAAATACTGATCTCTTTTTAATCCAAGGTTCAATGATCTGATGAGTTACCTCTTTTCAAATTTTGAATGGAAGCCTCACAGTGGTGAAAGCAGCTGAATTAACTGAAGCACCGCATGTTCCTGGGATCCTATTGAAGGTTACATATTGTATGCTGATGACTGTTTTAAATTTAAACTAGCGCAAACTTATTTTCTATCATCTAATAGTCCAGTTGATACTTACTATCTGTGTGAGGAAAGTTGTAAATGACAATTGAATTTTACTTGTTACCACATTTGCTTCTTATCAACTTTAAAATATTAAAATAGAGAATTTCTGTTCAGTCACCATCTCTGATAAACCCATGCATGTAGACACTTACCTCTAACTGTGACTTTTGCACAAGCAGCTGACTGTATACTCTTCCACCTTCTTCCCCACAAACCTTCCTTAGCTCATCTTTGTTTAGAGAGAAAATCTGTGCCCCATTTAAAATGCCCAGTTGACCTGATGTCCTGATGAAGAAAAAAGAACATCCCTTAGCTTGCTTAAGCATGAATAGGAAACATGACATGACAGTGTAAACACAAAGACTTTTGAAAACCAAAATATAGAGCTTGGATGGAGCACCATAGCTCTGTACAAGCAAAAACTGCAAGGTAAATCATGTTTGTCATATTTGTACCCTTTCACCCCAAAAAAAACATTTGTGAGGTTAGGTATGGATGTTGGCTCGCAATTGGCATTCCGATTGTAATCAAAGGTATGCAAACAGGTTGAGGTCAGAGCACTGTGCAGGCCATTCAGGTTACTCACACCCATGAGGTTATAGACACCATTACCCCCTCCCACCCACCCCAATATCCTTTTATTTGGTTATTACATCCGGGAGAAGGGAAAGTTTGCTAATCATGTGACCACTGTAATTAGCTGTCACAGTGGTCACATGATTGGGAGCTGGTCCCGCCAGATCCTAATCATTAGTACAGACCAAGAGCTGTCATTGTCAGTGCTGTGTATAGCATTTTGTATACCCCATGTCAATTTACTTTTGCTACTACTTTTGAATATTACTTTCTAGAAGTATCAAAGACAGGACAGGAAATTAAATATCTCCATCAGGGACATGCTCAGCATGACATGGACAATTTCGGGTTAATTTACTAATACTGTTGCACTCAGAATCTGGTGCACCTATGCATGGTAGCCAATCAGATTTTAACTTCAGCTTGTTCAATTAAGCTTTGGCAATAAAACCTGGAAGCTGATTGAGTTACACTAGATTTTACACTCTCCAGTTTTAGCAAAAAATCCCATTTGTATCCTGATTGGATACAAATTGAATTGATTGTTGAAGTAGGCACTTGAGTTAAATATCTTTTGTAGTACCCTTGTCCTAAACAAGGGCAACTATCTAAATTTAGTTTTTGACTGGGTGGTAGTTAGCCCAGATTGAATGTATAGTTTTTCAACTGTTTTTTTCCCTAAGCTTCAGTTGGGTTGTGATTTCTCACTTGTCACTGGTATCACTGGTCATAGTATAGGATTCCATAAACAAGCCTGAGTTGTGAATATTTATATTTCCTTCAGCCAATGCAGTAGGGGGTTTAGGTCACTGGTGCATGCTGGGGGAGAATATAAAAATTTGAGACAGACCATGTGCTTGTTCTTTTCCAGGGCTGAGGCCTGGAGAGGTGCTGTTGGATGGAGCTTTGCTGTTAGGTCCAATAGCCTGTTTGGAACCCTAATGTGTGCTGAAATGGTCCTGATGCTGTCCTGCCTGGTGTGGAGGGAGCTGTTCCAGAGAGAAGATCCAAAGAAGGCCCCTTGCTGGAGAAAGCCAAGAAGAATTCTGGTTTCACGCAGGGCTTGGAGACTTACTTGGCGGATGCAGTGAATTTGGAAATGTGCTTACACTGTTGCCGGGTCAGCTTAAAGGTTCTGACATTTTGAAGATGGACATTGATCTGGAGAGTCTGTAAGTGATCTGCTACAGTATCTGGGACCCATAATCCTCACCTCCTTAACTGTTCTGCAGTAAAATGCTAAAAAGAGGAAAGTGACTGATGCCCAATATTCTTTCTCAGTCCCCCATTTTAGCCTTGGACTCAGCTGTGGGGTGAAGTGCTAGCCCTCCTGCCTCTGGAGGTGCCATTCTGCCTTGTGTGTCGGGGGGACTTTGATAAATCTAAAATAGATTTTGCGTGGATTGCACAATCAGGAAGCACTGTGTGAACAGTGTTATTAGTCACTGGTAAGATCTTGTCATGGATACATGTAAATTGTAATCACACATAAAAAAGTCAATTTTCACTTACGATTTAGTAAAACCCTTAGCTTCCAACCAGGCTTTCACTTCCTCTGGCTCAGACTGGAAAGTTAATGGAACATGTACTTGCTGAGCTTTTTGTGTTACAAAATTCCTTTTAGGTGGTTGATGACTTGTGATTTTCTTTAACAGTTCATCATTCACTTCATCCATATGGTGAATTAACTCTGCAGAAATAAAATGAACACCTTGAGAACTATTGGCTACAATAAACCAATGGAGGGAAGCAATGTCACAGAATGTCGATACTGTAGGATACAAATAAAGAACCGCGATAAGAACTATTACATTGTAATATGATCTCCTATCAACTTTGCTGCATTGGTGTGTGCTTGTGGAAAATAGAGTATGTTGCATTTAAATGCAGTGCAGTATGTTTCATTGTCCCAAACTGGTGATCACTGAAATAGAATGTGATAGGAGATCTCTCAAATAGGGTACATACAGCAATAAAAACACTTTGTTTTTAATAGTCACAGTGCTCGTTATGGAAAAGAAAAATTGTGTCCTTTTAAAAAATACCCTTACTATAAAATTCAACAACAATTTGCAAAACATGTATAAAAAATATCTTTGTGCATGCAGCACAGTGGCTAAATGGTTAGCACTTCCGCCTGGCAGTACTAGGGTTGCTGGTTCAAATCCCGACCATGGCACCATCTGCCAGGAGTTTGCATGTTCTCCCTGTGCCTGCGTGGGTTTCCTCTGGATACTCCGGTTTCCTCCCACTCTCCAAAAGACATGCTGGTAGGTTAATTGGCTCCTTTCTAAATTGGCCCTAATATGTGTATGTATGGATATGAGTTAGGGACCTTAGATTGTACGCTCCTTGAGGGTTAGGAACTGATGTGAATGTACAATATATATGTAAAGCGCTGCGTAAATTGATGGTGCTATATAAGTACCTGAAATAAATAAATACATTTAAATGCACATTTTCAGCACATGTCAACTGTGATATTAATGGGCCCTAAAAGTAATTAAACGATCATTCTGTGCGTAGAACTGCTCTTCCACAGCATATCATTCCAAAAGTAGCAGCGCATTTCTTCTGGTGCTGTGATCTGCAGCAGCCAACAACATTTACAGCAGAAAATGTAATCCAGCCTAACTGATCGGCTGGCTGGGTGCAGTGACGCCTGTGAATTGTGTATGGCTGATGTATTTATTGCTTCAAATGGAATTCATGTTGAGTGTTTGAATGTAACATGAACAAACCCCATACATACACAATTTGCATATTAGAAGCAATGCCTAATGTATTGTAACAGGTCTGCTGTCATTGAGCCATGCAGGACATCCATAGACTATAATGTAAGACTATTTGTTTTGCAATTTCTTCTTCTGGCCACAAGATAGAAATATGTAGATGCTGACTTTTCCTTCCTGAACATTCACAGACAAAAGCACACTGGGAAGTAAAGCGTGTCAGTAGCATCAGGACACTGCATTTCCTGAACATTTGGATTGCATTTCCCAGAGGTCTGGGAGTACAGGCATGGTTAAAGAGACAGATGGAACTGGACTTCTCCCGGGGTAACGAGGATTCGCCTCAGAGGGGGGGCTGAGGTGACAGGATGGTATCAAGGAACTCCACTTCAGAGAGAAAGTAGGAGCCAGTGTCAGCGATGCCCACAGCTGTGTGAGGGACATTCAGAGGCTACAGAGTGCGACTCAAGGGTGGAGAGATGAAGCTACCTACCAGAGATGCCATGGGCAACCCAGAGTGAGCAGATATCTAATCAGGGGGGCTGGGTTATTAGGAACTACCTCCCAGTTACCCCATAGCTAAAGTACTGCCTGCTGGCTTCATTGACTGGGTTAATGAGCTCCAACGGTTTAGCCGGTAAAGAGTCAGGACTAAAAACTGCTACAGACCATAGCTGCCCCAAAGTCTTAGCCTGTTTGCTAGTTAAAGTGGTACCATATCCTAGTTCCATTTATTTGATTGCACTCAAAACCAGTACAGAACTGCTATCATTCTAAATGCATTTCAAATTCAGCTGTATTGTTTGTTGCTGACTCACTAATTTATGTATTGATTCTGGCTAGTGATATATATATATTTATATACAGTCATGGCCGAAATTGTTGGCACCCTTGATATTTTTCCTGAAAATCAAGTATTTCACACAAAAAAGGTATTGCATTAACACATGTTTTGCTATACACATGTTTATTCCCTTTGTATGTATTGGAACAAATATAAAACAGAGGCAGAAAAGCAAATATGACATAATGTCACACAAAACCCCAAAAATGGGCTGGACAAAAGTATTGGCACCCTTAACTTAATATTTGGTTGCACACCCTTTGGAAAACATAACTGAAATCAGTCGCTTCCTATAACCATCAATAAGCTTCTGACACCTCTCACCCGGAATTTTGGACCACTCTTCCTTTGCAAACAGCTCCAGGTCTCTCTTATTGGAAGGACACCTTTTCCCAACAGCATTTTAAGATCTCTCCACAGGTGTTCAATGGGATTTAGATCTGGGCTCATTGCTGGCCACTTCAGAACTCTCCAGCGCTTCTTTGCCATCCATTTCTGAGTGCTTTTTGACGTATGTTTGGGGTCATTGTCCTGCTGGAAGACCCAGGATCTTGGACGCAAACCCAGCTTTCTGACACTGGGCCCTACAGTGCGACCCAAAATCCTTTGGTAATCCTCAGATTTCATGATGCCTTGCACACAGTCAAGGCACCCAGTGCCAGAGGCAGCAAAACAACCCCAAAACATCATTGAACCTCCACCATATTTTACCGTAGGTACTGTGTTTTGTTCTTTGTAGGCCTCATTCCGTTTTCGGTAAACAGTAGAATGATGTGCTTTACCGAAAAGCTCTATCTTGGTCTCATCTGTCCACAAGACGTTTTCCCAGAAGGCTTTTGGCTTACTCAAGTACATTTTGGCAAACTGTAGTCTTGCTTTTTTATGTCTCTGTGTCAGCAGTGGGGTCCTCCTGTCTCCTGCCATAGCGTTTTTTTCATTTAAATGTCGACGGATAGTTCGCGCTGACACTGATGCTCCCTGAGCCTGCAGGACAGCTTGAATGTCTTTGGAACATGTTTGGGCTGCTTATCCACCATCCGGACTATTCTGCGTTGCAATCTTTCATCAATTTTCCTCATCCGTCCACGACCAGGGAGATTAGCTACAGTGCCATGGGTTGCAAACTTCTTGATAATGTTGCGCACTGTGGACAAAGGCAAATCTAGTTCTCTGGGATGGACTTGTAACCTTGAGATTGTTGATATTTTGCCACAATTTTGGTTTTCTCAGGTCCTCAGACAGTTCTCGTCTCCTCTTTCTGTTGTCCATGCTTAGTGTGGCACAGACAGACACACAATGCAAAGGTTAAGTGAAGTCTCTCCTTTTTATCTGCTTTCAGGTGTGATTTTATATTGCCCACACCTGTTACTTGCCCCAGGTGAGTTTACAGGAGCATCACATGCTTGTAACATTCTTATTTATCCGCAGTTGTGAAAGGGTGCCAATACTTTTGTCCAGCCCATTTTTGGAGGTTTGTGTGACATTATGTCGAATTTGCTTTCTTTCCTCCCTTTTTTTGTTTTGTCCCAATACACACAAAGGGAATAAACATGTGTATAGCAAAACATGTGTTAATGCAATACGTTTCGTGAGAAATACATGATTTCCTGGAGAAATATCAAGGGTGCCAACAATTTCGGCCATGACTGTATATATATATATATACACAAATCATTGGATTCAGGTGTTCAAGTTAACCTCCATAGCCACAGGTGTATAAAATCAAGCACCTAGGCATGCAGACTGCTTCTACAAACATTTGTGAAAGAATGGGTCCCCCTCAGGGGCTCAGTCAATTCAAGTGTGGTTCCATGATAGTTTGCTGCCTGTGCAGTAAGTCCATCCGTGAACTTTTCTTGCTACTAAATATTCCACAGTCAACTGGTAGTGTAATTAAAACAAAATGGAAGTGAATGGGAGCAACAGCAACTCAGCCACCAAGTGGTAGGCCATGTAAAATGACAGAGCGGGCTCAGCGCATGCTGAAGCACACAGTGCGCAGAAGTCGTCAACTGTCTGCAGAGTCAATAGCTAAAGACCTCTAAACTTCATGTGGCCTTCAGATTAGCACAACAATAGTGCATAGAGAGCTTCATGGAATGGGTTTCCTTGGCCAAGCAGCTGCATCCAAGCCTTACATCACCAAGTGCAATTCAGAGCGTTGGATGGAGTGGTGTAAAGCACGCCGCAACTGGACTCTAGAGCAGTGAAGATGTGTTCTCTGGAGTGGACAAATCACGCTTCTATGTCTGGCAGTCCGATGGATGTGTCTGGGTTTGGGGTTGCCAGTAGAATGGTACTTGCCTAACTGCACTGTGCCAAGTGTAAAGTTTGGAGGGGGGATTTTGGTGTGGGGTTGTTTTTCAGGGGTTGGGCTTGGCCCGTTAGTTCCAGTGAAGGGAACAGGCCCTTTCTTGTTCCAACATGACTGCGCATCAGTGCACAAAGCAAGGTCCATAAAGACATGGATGAGCGAGTTTGGGGTGGGGGAACCTGACTGGCCTGCACAGAGTCCTGACCTCAACCCAATAGAACACCTTTGGGACGAATTAGAGCGGAGTCTGCGAGCGAGCCAGGCTTTCTTGTCCGATATCAGTGCCTGATCTCACAAATGCGCTTCTGGAAGAATGGTCAAACCTTCCCATAGACACACTCCTAAACCTTTTGGACAGCCTTCCCAGAAGAGTTGAAGCTGGTATAGATGCAGATAGATAGATAGATAAAGGCGGGCCAACTCAATATTGAACCCTACAGACTATGACTGGGATGCCATTAAAGTTCACATCAAAGCATATGTGCGTATAAAGACAGGCTTCCCAATACTTTTGGCAATATAGTATATACAGTATCTCACAGAAGTGAGTACACCCCTCACATTTTTGTAAATATTTTATTATATCTTTTCATGTGACAACACTGAAGAAATGACACTTTGCTACAATGTAAAGTAGTGAGTGTACAGCTTGTATAACAGTGTAAATTTGCTGTCCCCTCAAAATAAGTCAACACACAGCCATTAATGTCTAAACTGCTGGCAACAAAAGTGAGTACACCCCTAAACACAAATACAATAAAAAACACAAAATAAAAAAAAATCTAATTGCCTCACAAGGCAATAACAGCAATACATTGATTTATTATCATCTAGCTTTCCTTTTCTTTTCCCCTCTTACTCCAAAGCAACCAATAGATATTATTCATAATATAGCATAAGAACTCTCTGTGACAGACCAACCTAGTCTACTAAAGAACATACCCAACCTTTATTAAAAAAAAATTAAAATTAGACTGTGATGTGTCTAACCATTTTTTCCATATTTTAAAAAACTTTTATGAGGCGTTTTGTTGAGCATAGGTATATTTCTCTAACATTACATGTTTATCCTTTTCCCGAATCCAATCCCCAAGGGTAGGAATCCCAACTAGAGGCTATCAACTTTTGTGCCGTAAAAAGTGATTTCGCAATAGCCAGTAGCTGGCCATGATCCAGGTTGTTTGAGTTCACATACCCTAAAAACCATAGAGTGGGATCTGGAATCAACACAGTGTCATATACAAAATTTAAAGGATAAGTTCACCTTTTAAAAAAAAAATTATAAATGCACATTTTTACGCAAATCCGATCGTTACATGTTACACCCTGAATATGGGTGTAACATGTAACATGTTACTAAAGGTGAACTTATCCTTTAACATATCTAGCACTTCCTAACAGTACCAATATAGTTTCAGACATCTCAATAACAGATGCATAAATGAGCCAGGGATTGACCACATCTTGCACATTCAGAATTTACTCTCCTGCCTACCCTATGCAGCCCTGTACAGAATGAAAAGTTGGGTCACTGTGAGTTGGAGATATCAAAAATAGTACTTTACATTCTGCAACTTTTTTTAAACCAAATCACTCTGTGCTTCTTCCTCCTGAGTTGTCCTTCTTTTAGGTCTGTATAGATCTCTGCAAAAATACTATTATACTAGCGGAATTGTTATACTACATTAAATATATTTATCTAACCTATTATTGCAACTCTCATATGCAATTATGACATTTGTTATTTTAAAAAGGAAAAGTAGCGATGATAAGCACTTGTGGGGTTTCGTTTAGTCAATTTTTTTGATCATACATTTTTTGTGGTCCACAGAACTTTGCTGTCTCAGAGAGTTGGGAGGCATATACACTACATCCTATTCTGCAGGAGATATAACCTTGCAGAAGGTATAAAAATCCGTTTCTTGTTAATACATTTTTAACATTTTAAAAAAACACTTGGAAATCCTTTCTGTCCTGGAGGCATGAAATACCTTTGTTGAATATGTCTCCCAAAATGGGTTGGGTGAAAGAAGGATACCCAACATATTATATGGGTATATTTGGGCTAGCAGCAAAGGTATCAGGCTGCTGGACAAGTTGTGGTACACTAATGGCATGGTATGAATCAGGTCTTACAGTCAGATAATACAGAACCAAACTGGGAATCTTACTATGTGCTGGATCTGTGACAATATGACCAGCACTGAGACTGCACACTTCCATTTTCACTTAGCTCTGGGGAAAAAAGTACTTTATAACAAAAACAGAACTTAGTTGGCTTTTGTATATGACATTATATGATACAGCCACACAGACTATCTGGCACGCTGTTTGGCACAGTCTATGGCAGTCTCTTTGGTGGTCTGTATGATGCAGTCATTCCTTAGCATTCTACATGGTCCAATCTCTGTCCAGATCTCTGATAGCTGATGTGGTCCCATCTTTGGTACTCTTTGTGGCATAGTCTATGGCAGTCTGCCTATACAGCCCTTGCCAAAAGTTTTGAGAATGACTCAAATATTAGTTTATCCACAAGGAAACACATGCAGTCATCATTTCTTTGCACAAAAAGGGATTCACAGGCAAGGATATTGCTGCTACTAAGATTGCACCTAAGTCAACATTTATCAGATCATCAAGGACTTCAAGAAGAGAAGTCCAATTGTTGTGAAGAAGGCTTCAGGGTGCACAGTAAAGTCCAGCAAGTGCCAGGACTGTCTCCTTAAGTTGATTCAGCTGTGGGATCAGGGCACCACCAGTATAAAGCTTGCTCAAGAATGGCAGCAGGCAGGTGTGAGTGCATCTTCATGCACAGTGAGATAAAGACTTTTGGAGAATGGCCTGGTGTCAAGAAGGACAGCAAAGAAGCCACTTCTCTTCAGGAAAAACATCAGGGACAGACTGGTATTCTGCAAAAGGTACAGGGATTGGATTGCTGAGGACTGAGGTAGTCATTTTCTCTGATGAATCCCCTTTCCAATTCTTCGGGGCATCTGGAAAAACCTTGTCCGGAGAAGAAAAGGTAAGTGCTACCATCAGTCCTGTGTCATGCCAACAGTAAAGCATCCTGAGACCATTCATGTGTGGGGTTGCTTCTCAGCCAAGGGAGTGCGCTCACTCAGATTTTCAAAAGGAACACAGCCACGAAAAAAGAATGGTACAAAAACATCCCTTTTCTCCCAACCATCCAAGAACAATTTGGTCACGAACAATGACTTTTGCAGCACCTTGCTATAAGGCAAAAGTGATCACTAAGTGGCTTAGGGAACAAACATTGAAATGTTGGGTTCATGGCCAGGAAACTCCTTAGACCTTAATCCCATTGAGTACTTGTGGTCAATCCTCAAAAGGTGGTTGAACAAAAAACCTCCCACAAATTAAGACAAACTCCAACTTGATTATGCAAGAATGGGCTGCCATCAGTCAAGATGTGGCGAATTGCAGAGGTCTTGAAAAAGAAGGGTCAGGGTCAGCATTGCAAATACTGACACTTTGCATAAACCTAATGTAATTGTCAATATAAGTCTTATGAAATGCTTGTAATATACTTCAGTATGCCTTAGTAACATCTGACAAACAAATCTAAAAAGCAGCAGACTTTGTGAATAATAATATTTGTGTCATTTTCAAAACTTTTGGCCAGGGCTGTACAGTAGTAGAGTCTTTGCACATGATGCCATATTTATGTATAGAGCAATCTGTATGGTACAGTCTCTGGTAGTCCCACCGTATCGTACTGCCTATATAAATCAGTCTGTATGGTACAGTCTATTGGTACGCTGCTACCATTCTATTTGGAGCAGTCTCTTTGTAACATGTACAATTGCTAGCAGTCTTTCTGTAACATAGCAGTCTCATGTAATACGACAGTCACCTTTTAACGGTTGTCAGGGGTCAATGGAGGTATCTGGCAGGATTTGAATATATGGCTCATTGGTTAGATCAGTTTATGGATTCAGAAGCAGGTTGGGTGTTGTGTTGGAGAATCTGTAAAGAGAAGGTAAACCGATGCCTTCTGCTGGACAGTCTGAGCTTTTGAAGAACACCAGATGAAAATAGAAGAAAACAAGTCTAAAAAAGAAAACTAATGCATCCATCACATCTAAGAATTGAGTCCCCACTTGCAGAACCTGTTCAAAAAAGGGGACCCCAGATGGTGACACGTTTGAGACACGTTTAAGAATCTTGGAGTGCCTACCCCGAGTTGTGATTGGAAGGTGTATGACCCTGACCTTACCATGGCAGTAGATGTCCGCTACCTGATGTAACAGGATAAATCTCACATGTGTATTTTTGACGCACGTCTGGTGAGTGTGCATTTTTTACCCCAGATTCACCGTGTGGTACACTAGAACTCTGCCCCACGCACTCATTAGGATCTATTGGATCCCCACGTTGGGCCTTCATTTATCTTGGGACTTTTTATTCACTCAATTTCACCTCAGTGTGATCTGATATTTGCACTTGATTTTATGCTATAATATGATGTCTATATTTATGTTATTTTAGCGCTGCACCTTATATGTAGGTAGGAAAGCCACTGCAACTACAGGGTGTAAATGTAAGGCCAGGTGCAGGTCTGTAGAACCAGAACCTAACTTACGTTCTTTGGTGTTCTGACTGGTTGACCATCCAGCCATCTCACTTCCCCATTTATCTCCAGCATAACTACTTGGAAGCTTGAATGCAGGGCTAATGGGACTTCTTGGGTTTCCTTCTCGGTATTTGTTTCCAAGCTAGAATATAAGCAGATATATTTGTAACAACAAGCTTAACACATATTGTATTATATTACAATAAAATTATATGGAATGTCTTTATTTTCTTGCTAAACAATTTCACATTTTTTTAAACAAACCATCCAGCTGTTTAAAAATTTCAGAAGTAAACAGAATATACCTGAAAATTGGCTAAACCCATTCAATTTGTTTATTTAAAACAGCAGCTAGTCATCTGCTTGGCTCAAGACATCTGCATATGAGATCTTGTTACTGTTATCTCATATATCCTATATAAGACTGGGGTAGGAGGGCATTTGTATTGATGCCCTAAGGACAGGTAATGCCTTCTTCCAAAAATAATTAAATATATTATTACTTTGCCATATGGTCCATCTATCTGGCTCTCTTCCGTTGATACTACATCAAGAATATTATATGGGACGTAGCCCTCTTGCCCAATGCTGTTTCTCAGCTTCCACCACTGTTTGTTATCTTCCAGAATCTGCAAGAAAAATACAAAAAGAAAACATCTAACACCTTAAATATACAGCAGAATCAAAAAGCTTGGCCTGTAGTCATCTGGTCATCTTTTGAAATTTGAAGAAAATAATAAAATTCATAAAAACAATATTACCTCCAGTACTTCATCTTTCATTACTGACAGTTCGTTGGCATTTCTGGCAGTGAAGTCATAACGAATTTTGGCGCATTTCTGTGGCTGTGCAGGCAGTGGTGCTTCATAACTGTTTAACAAAATATGAAAGAAGACTATGATTAATAAACTTTCTTGACATTGCTGGGAATTATAGGTGACCCTTAAAAACCTAGCACGATTAAAAAATCATTAATATGTTATCATTAATATAAATATTTAAAAATGTTGGTAATAAACTTTCATATTTAAAGGTACAATAGAGGAATAGAAGTATGAGTAAAGCGAATACTTTTTTTAAATTTTGGGTAGAGTGGAGAACATTTAAAGCAGATCTACACAATAGATTTTTTACCATAATGCATTCACTGCATAAAGGTCCAAAAAATACCCCACTACCTGTTTCCCCCCCCCATCCCTAAACATTTACCTGACTCCTTTCACTGATCTGGCTTTGTACCGGCTGCAGTACCGCTTTTCTCACTTCCTAGATTCACAGAAGACACTGAGAGCAGTGGGAGCCAAAGGCTTCTGTTGCTGTCAGTCAAACTCCTATGAGAAGGGAGCAGGGATGTGACTTACCAGTGCTGTGTGTGTCTATGGATGCACACAGCCTGGCTCAGAAGCCAGCGTGCACGGGTGATCCCATAGCACATGGCTTAATAAGGGGCACTCGAGGGAGGATTAAGAAGCGGACAGCACTGGCAAGGGAATGCCAAAAAGGAGGTAAGGGACCGGTCTGTAGAATAGGGTTATATGTAATAGCACCACCTGGTCTCCTCCACTGCACTGTGGGTCCTGTTAGTGCCCCTTCCCTTTAAAAGATGGTTGCAATAACATCACTCCATCTGGGCCTTTGACAAAGTCTTGATAACGAAACATATCAGGTGGAGCTTGATGACGCAACCAGAAAATGTTGTGAGAGCTACTGAAGGAGCTAGAGACAGGCTCTGGATGAATTTGTATCCTTGTGCACGTGTCTTGGGCACCTTTTGTGATTGTATCTTTTTATATTTTTACCTTCAATCAACATTTTAAACAGAGATCACTATTAGTTTTTACGTTATCCTTGAAGAATATACAGTATCTGTGCCTATCTGTGAAGTGCAGGAGACTGAGTGATGATATTGCAGCCATCCTTTAGCCCTGGGTCACACTGATGCGGTGCAGAATTTGCAGCGTTTTCTGTGCGAATTCCAAACCGCATCAGAATTGCACCATGCACAACTGCTGCAGGTGTGTATGTTAAGTTAACAACACCCCAAAAGCGATCGCAAAAAACGGTGCAATGTGCAGAATCAGATCACATAGGTGTGAATACCCATGCGATCCGATTCTAGTGCGGACCAAAAAAAGGGTCCTACACATTTTTGGTGCAGGTGGGTGTGATTAGAGCCATAGAAAAAAATGTATGGCTCCAATCGCACCGCACACAAATCACATGTGATTTGCACAGGAATGCAGTGCAGTTCCTGTGCGAATCACATGCGATATACAGCACAGATTATATATGTGAACCCAGGCTCAAAGGGAAGGAGTGCTAACAGGAACTACTGTGCAGTGGAGGAGACCAGGTGGCACTATTACGCATATCCCTTTAAAGGAGAAAGGTGCAGTATGGACCTATGGTAACCCATTCCCACTGTGCAAGGTGAAAGACCACCTTGTTATTAAATTGGCAAATGACCACAAAGTGGTGGTGTTTTTTAATGCAGAATCCATGTGGAACAGTATATCAATATTGAGCAATGAAAAGCACATTGCATACTTTTGGGTTTAAAAAGGGACATTATCATATACTTTTCAAAAGTATGACTTTTATGGTTTTTATTTATTATTAAATCCTGCGTTGCACTTAATTTTTGTTTATTTGGTTTTCTGCTAAGATCATCACTTGTGACCTCTGGCAAGCCAAGTGTAAGAAAGCTTTTGTCTGTATAAAAAAGAAAAAGTTAACTTGGCTAAGATGTCTAAACAGAAAGGCACAAGTGTATGGCGCAATCCTAGGCCTATAGTAATAAAACTCCCCAATGAGTCAATTTTTGAAAAAGCTAAATAAGTCCATAACAGTCCATAATGTGAACAACCATAATAAAGCTGATGGCAGCACAAAGATAGGGAGTTCCACTGAGAGACAGGAATTGATCTCTGGAATGCAGTAGAAAAACAACTTTAATCAGCAGCCAAATTTACACTCACATAGTTCCATGTTAAGAGTGCTTGTCCGTATGGTTGCAGCTACTGGAAGGATTGTCCACCCTCAAGGGATCTGTTGGTAGCAGCTAGCAGCGGAGATGGAAACGCCAGAGAGCCTCTCGTCAGCTGGTGTACGAAGTCATCAGTGATTCCACATTTCCATCTCCACTGCTAGATGCTGCCGACAGATCCCTTGAGGGTGAATAATCCTTTCCATAGATGCAACCATACTAACAAGCGCTCTTAATGTGGAATGTAAGTATAAATTTGGCTGCTATATTAAAGTTGTTTTATTACTGCACTTAGTGGCGCCCCCTTGTATTCTTCTAAGAGTCTGTGTCTGACTCAGATTCTTAGTTAAATAGAACCAGAGGCAAAACTATTTTTTAAATTTGGACAGAGTAAGGGAGGGTTCCCTTGACAGTTTTTTTTGCAATCTGCATCCCATTGAGGAGATCTCCCTTCACTTCCTGTCTCATAACAGTGAAAGGAAATCCCTCCAAAGTGAGAGATATTCCTGAAAGTTACCAGAACGAATGTCCCCATTGGAGGATTCCCCCTGTATTCCTGTTCTGGTGACCATTCAAAATAAGACATTTTCTCTCACTTTCACTTTTGGTGATAACGGTCACCAGGACAATTAGTGAGGGTGAATCACCCTAACAGGGACACAGACAGAAATAAAATCCCGACAGGTATTCTAATACATCTCCACTCTATTAAAAAAAAAAAAGAAAATGTTTGCCTTCTGTTATACCTTAAAGTGGTTGTAAACCTCAGACACAAATATGAATAAAGCATATCCCTCTATAGTGTGTACTTGTCCCAATCCACAGCACTAAGTGTCATTTCTGCCTGCTGCCTCATTTCTCAGCTATCAGCATGAGTCACTTCTGACATGTTTTTATGGAACCAAGAGAAACATGGTGACAGAGGAGGGGCACAGCCTGTGATTAACAGCCTCAGCTCTGTTCATGTGTGCTGTGTGAAAGGGGTGTGTCTCTTCCTTCCAATCAGCTCTGAGTTCTCCTCACTGCTGTAACTTCAGCCCCCCCGCCCCCTGCTTTTCAGAGCTTTGAGATGCTGTGTAAATTCTGCACTTTGAAAAAATGTAGGGGGACAGACATTTTAGATAAACAGGTACAACTTATGTAGGAGGATTTGTTTAATCTCTGTGTATCCCCTGAGTCCAGTCACTTCACTGGGTATATGGAAGGGTTTACAACCACTCTAACTTCAGCAATACTCACGTGGTAAGTTTAGGGCCTGCGTTGTATTCTGGCTTAATTTCAGGCTGAACTGGTGAAGGCTGCTGTCTGAAAGATGGAGTCCGATAAGGATTTGCACTTGGAGGAGAAGCCTGGAAGACACAAATTGGACATTTAAATCACATTCAGTGTGACACTTATGATTTTATATGGGTTATCAAATAGATACACCCAATGCCAAGTCCACACTGTAATTGGACATTAGACCATAGCAACCAACAGTTTCCTTTCACTGTTCTAACCCCGGAGCCTCCAAACTTTGAACAAAGCGTCTTTTTACTGTTCTTCAGACTTTAGGGGGGTTGGACTGTGGCCAGCAGGAGTAAAAATGCAGCAGCTTCAGTAAGATTAATCAATTCTTCAATGCCTGCTGGTGGTCAGCGAGAGTAGGAAAATTACATAGTGTCTGTTGTCAGCAGAAGGAGCAATAGTGCCCCAATGTTGGTGTCAATGGGAGGAATAATGCCCCATCGTTGGTGTCAATGGGAGAACCAGTACCCCATCACTGGTGTCAGTGGGAGGAATATTGCCTCATTGTTGGTGTCAGTGGGGGGAAAAGTGCCACATCTTTGGTTTTAGTGGGAGAAATAGTGTCCCATCATTGGTGTCAGTGGGGGGAAAAGTGTGTCATCTTCAGTGGGAGTAAACAATACCTCAATGTCCACTAGTGGTCAGTGGGAGTAGAAAAAAATCACATAGTGCCTGTGGTCAGTAGGAGGAGGAATGGTGCCCCATCGTTGGCGACAGTAGGAGGAATAGTGCCCCATCATCGATGTTAGTGCAAGGAGTAGTGCCCCATAATTGCTATCATAGGGAGCAATAGTGCTCCATCGAGGATCTCTCCAAACTTTTAACAAAGGACCTGTTTATTGTCCTTCAGACTTTAGGGGGATTGGACTGTGGCCAGCAGGAGTAAAAATGCACCAGCTTCAGTGGGATTAAACAAAGCTTCAATGCCTGCTGGTGGTCAGTGGGAGTAAGAAAAGTACATAGCAGCTGTGGTCAGTAGGAGGAGCAATAGTGCCCCAATGTTGGTGTCAGTGGGAGGAATAGTGCCCCATCATTGGTGTTAGTGGGAGGAGTAGTGCCCCATAATTGTTGTCATTGGGAGCAATAGTGCCCCATCGTGGGTGTCAGTGGGAGGAATAGTGGCACATCTTTGGTTTTAGTGGAAGGAATAGTGCCCCATCGTATGTGTCAGTGGTAGGAATAGTGGCCCATCATTGGCATCAGTGGAAGGAATAGTGCCCTGTCATTGCTCTCAGTGGAAAGAATTGTGCCCCATCAATGGTGTCAGTGGGAGGAATTATGCCCTACTGTTGGACTCAATGGAAGGAATAGTGCCTCATTGCTGGTGTCAATAGGAGGAATAGTGCCTCATATCATTGGGAGGAATTATGCCCCACTGTTGGAGACAACAACCGTTCTTATTGCCTGGTAAGGGTTACTTTACATTTTGCATTATCATTATTCTTTATGGATACATTCCAGTATGTATATAGGTATATTTGGGAAGTGTAAAGTGTGTTTGTTTTCTGAAATGCATGCTAATGATAATTATGTACTCAAATATGCTCCATTTGAGAGCATAATCCATTGGCTAGGACCACATCCAGTGGCTTTGAAGCCACAGGTACATCTCAGAAGGCTCTATAATTAGTGTTTTTTCTGTGATAATGCTCAGCTGTGAAGAATGTACCTGCTTAAAGTACCGGTATATCTAAACCCTAGAGAAAAAATGTACATACATTGGGGTTGCCAGACCTAAGATATGTTGGCTGAATTTCTTAAGACTAATTACTTTTTGATCCTGACAGAAATGCAATGTCCGTGTAGCTTCCTGTGTACAAAACTCCAATCTCAAATAATGTTATAAGCTTCACCAGCTGTCCTCTGTGAACTAGAAAGAAACTCCTCTTTCTGAAATGGAGATGAGGAGAAAGGGATATGTATGTGGTCCAAATCAGGAGTGAGCAGCCTAGTTTGACAATGCTCTATAGATATAGTCAGGTGAGTGAACAATGCCACCCTATGGCAGGAAGTGTATTACTATCTGGATCACCAGGTGAAAATGAATAGGGAAAAGTCTGAAGAAAAACCCCAGTGAACTAGAGGGATATTTAAATTTTGTTGTCGAGTTTAGATACACTTTACAACTTATTTTATTTATAATCACAAAGCTATTCAACTTAGGGTTTAAAGTCTGTGAAAAAAAAAGGTGATTCGCTGCAGTTCTGCGCAGGCTATGCATTTCCTTCCATAGACAAAAGAAAATGGTTCTAACCCATACTTTATGCAAAAATAAAAAAAATTCTGGCTGCAATTGAGTTTTAATATAAATTATGTGACATTTTTAGAAATATACAGTAATTGTCTTAGATTAGAATTAAAGACAAAACTTTTTTCATTTTGGGATTTTGTTTTTTTTATGCTATCTGCGTTCCACTGTGGATATTTCCATTCAATTTCTGTCTCATAGCCAAAAGCAGGAAGTGAGGGGAAATCTCTCTGCAGCCGGGTGCCCCTCCAGCTGTGTGCCGTTCTCTGTCACTTCCCCCTTCCTTGCCACCGTGCAGCAAGCACTTCTGTGCCCAAAAAGGAGGAGAGCACTTCTGTGCCCACTCTCCTCCTCTCTCCCCTCCCCACTGCTGGGTGTGTGACTGCAGCAGCTGCGTTGTGACAGGGGAGAGGCACAGCTGCAGGCTCTGTGTTAAGATTCCTCCCTCCCTCTTGACAGCAGTACAGCAATGACTCAAGCCAATCAGTGGAAGGGAGGCAGCTCCGTGAATGATGATGCAGCCTCATGGAACCCTTAGTTTGTGGATGCTCCTGGCTGCATCAGTGACCACATTACCCAAAAAAGCCCTGCACCAGAGAAGGGGAGAGCAGAGTTTCCTGGGCAAAATGTGCAGAGGTCAGCCAGTCTAGTGCAGGGAGACAGGGATTGAGGACCCATCACTGAGGTGTCTGCACCTAAACCAGAGTACTGAGAAACTGAGCAGCTTTTGCTGTGCTGAGAACTGGAGAATACAGAGCTGTGACCTGTGTGCTGAGGGACTGAGCCACTTACAGGATACTATCTTTGCTGTGCTGAGGACTTGAGTCGCCCCAAGCAACCCAGAAGTGACCAGATGGTGAGCTGCAATATCGCTGGGACTAGTGAGCTGCTGTTGTGTGGATTCACTATCTGCTGCTAGAGAGACTGAGCCCTTTATTAACTGACCATAAAACCATCTAGTAGTCATTTGCTGCCTGCAGGCTTCACTGGGACTATTCCCATGTGCACCAACGGTACAACTGGGCCCCAACAATAGCCAGCTGAAGAGCTAGGACTGTCCTTATACAATTGCTACACACAGACCTTTTCCTATTGCTTATGCTTAGAGGTACGTCTCAGGGGACATTGCACCATATCCTAGCCATTCTCCTAGAGTGCCCTCTAAACCAGTTATATCATTATCATTCATGTTGCTGGTAATGTTTATATGCACTATTTAATGCTGACTTTGCTGATTTAGGGGGTGACTCCAGTCTAGTGGTACAGAACTCTATTCTGAGTTAGCTTGGCATAGCAATTACACTGTCTAGCAAACTGTGTCTCAATCTACCGTCTGCATGCTCATTTATATTCACACCATCATTTACTCCAACCTGAACCACACATTGAGTTAATTTATCAGTAAAATCTTATCTCTAGTTCCTGGTGCTAATTTCCAGCTAAGTTAAAGGTATCTATATACTTGTGTTCTTATAAGTTCTTGCAGTAACTTTAATTTAACCAGGTGTGTCAGGGGGGCTGAGGTTTTCCTGGGAGTCGAGGTGGAGAACAGAGAACCCAAATGACCAAGCAGCTCCTTCAGGGGGTAGCACTACATTTCAAAAGTGGGGGAATCCCAAGTTTTCACTAGAACTAGTGTCCCTATTTATAGATTTTCCCTCCATTACTGTTCTGGTGACAAGCCAAAATTTGAATCTTTTACTCTCAGCGGTAACAGTAAACAGGACAAATAGGGGAAATCTGCCTAACAGGAGCACAGACAGCAATAAAACCGCTCAGGTGTTCTAATCCCTCTCCACTCTATCTAAAACTAAAAAAAAAAAGCTTTGCTTTTAATTATACTCGATGTTTAAACCCAATATTCCAGTGTGCATTACTACTGTGTTAACTGCTGAGTTAGCCCGAGTCCACATCTCCAGAAGTCCAAACAACCCTGTAAGTGCTACATTCTTTGGTGTGCTGCAATGTCAGTACAATCTCAGTAGCTGATGTTAAAATCTAACACAAACATGCACACAAGCACAAACACATTAACCAGGTGCCCCTCTGTCATGCCTAAGGATAGTTTATAGGTTGAAACAATGAGGGTACACTTCAAACAGCACATTCACAAACCAGTTCTAGTAGAAAAAACATTTGCTGAGATTTGTAGGGACACAGGAGGTGCCACTTACATTTCTAGGTCCATGGTTTTCTATTGGTTTGGGTGGCTGCAACACAGGTATTAATTGTTGTTAGTATTATTAGTAAAATTAGGAAATGATAAGGTGATTATACATAAATAGTGACATACAATTTATGAAATAAAGAGAGCATTTTCTTGGAATGGAAAAGAGGATATGCTAGTCTGTTCACATCATAGATATAGAGTAAGGTGTGGTTAGTTAGGGTGGTTTAGGACCTTCTTGTAAGAGGAATGCATCAGTACAAGTAACAGAAGGCTTATCTTGGAAGAATTATATGTATGGGAAGTCTACCAGCGTGTATAGTGCCAAAGAAAATGAATAGGTTGATTCAAGATAAAGATCTGTAACAGGTTTAATTAATGAACTGAAAGACACATAAAAATACTGTAAAACTTAATACTAGGCTCAGTTCACCAACATAAATACATTATTTAACTCCATGAATTTATCTCATGATATTTTTTTCCTAAAAATATTCAACTTATAAACAAAATATAGTTTAGGCAGGATTATTATTTTATCTTACAAAATATTTTTTATCATAAGAAAAGGCAATTTTTTCTGCTCTATCTGTATCTTAAATGCTCTGATATATAGCATGACATGCCTATGGTATAATATTAATATGCCACCCTGGTTTGTATCCCTCATATAACCAACCTATATGTAGAGCTTACCTCTTCATGGATCTTGGGTTTAAAAGGCTCTGGTGGATGTCCTATGTCTAGCTCCCAAGGAGCTCCCTGGAAGATGTCTGGAGGTGGTATCCAACCATTGTTGAATTTTGGAATGTACTGAGGAATCAGAGGCTCTCTTGGCCATTCTGCCCTGGAATCAAAAGTGTTTTTCTTTGTTAGTTGTCTAGAACTACATATCTATTACAATTTGAGATATCTTTAAGATATTGTATTCATCTATGTAGTGTGGAATGTTCTACAGTATTTTGCGTGGAGCCCACTATATCTGATAAAGGTCACACACACATACTAATGTCAACTATAGACATTGATAAACCGATTAGTACAATGAATATGTTTTTAAATCAAGGAGGGTAAATTGGAATACCCTAAGGAAAAATCATTCACTTTGTGCAGATAGAGTCCCATGTAGAACCCCAGCACTGTATGACACGGGGACTGTTCAATTAGTCATAATCTAGGAATATAACTTCATAACCTGTGCTGAATGTGCCTTAGCCTGCTTCATGAGCTACCATTTTGAGGGACCGTCCTTACACGTTGTTCTCTCTGATGTGCTTGGTGATTTGCTGTACCTGGCATGTAGTATTGTTTTTATATTCTACTGTACAAATTCGATAAATGTTCTTCTAGAAAGAAAATCTACCAGTGACATGGAAAGAGTTACCTATGTGAATCCTAACAATTAATCCAAGTAACTACGTAAGAGATGCATCATTCCATATAAAAAGAGTTATCAGTTAGGATCCTTGCATCACAGAGCCATCTTGACAGAGGCCAGATCCTGAGCAATAGATCTGCATAAAACTTTAATTTTCCTGTTTACTTACCTTGATTTGGTCCATCGTTCTCCCAGAGCATCCCATGTCTGCATTTCTTTTGGGGTGAGATGCCCCCTTAGAAAATCTGTAGCGTCTTTTGAAAGGAGAGGACAGGTGATTGATCTTCCCAAATCTGGACCTCCTGAGCTCTGCATTATCTGTAGGAAATCGCACATATAAACTGTACAGCGCATGCACATGCAGATCTAGCCAGTTGGCTAGAAAGAAGCTGTAAAAAATACAGCACATGCATTTATATTCATAAATCACCTATACCCTTTGCCAGACACAATGAATAACACAATGGCAAGGACTGTGTTAATATAAGCTACATGTAGTATGTTTTTTACAGACAGGATGACACAGAAAAAGAAACAGCTCACCAGCTCCAGTGGCCCAAATAGGAAATGGATAAGCTCTGCAGCACTAGGATTCTGGATATGTTTTCTCAGCTTTGCCTGAAGAAACACAATATGCAAACAAATAAATATAGAGTTCAAGGAATATTTTTAGAAGTCAAAAGCAAGCATTGATTAATATCAAACACTGATAAGAACAAGGGTTCTGGTCTTGAACTTGTCAATCCAGGATCACCTTGTAGCAGAACTGCTGCATCTTCAAAGAAAGTGGGCAATTTGAGGTGTGGCATCTTGTATAGATGTCCCATGAATGGCTACCTGTGAAGATCTATTATATGTATTTATATAGGAAAAGATCAAGGAACATGCTAAAGTGATATAATCACTTGTCCTTAGAAAACCTTGGAATCCATCAATGTTAGATGTTGGCCAGGCAGACATGAATGGGCAAATATGGGTACATCTGTGCTGACATGTTTAGTTTATAGACCCCCAAATTTTAGGCTGTATGAAAATGAAAATAAAAATAAATTACAAACAGCAATAACACATTGAATAATCAGTTAAAGCATGAAGTACAGAAAATTATAACATATTCTTATTTGCAAACTCATAAACCAAAAAAACAAATACAGTATATAAAATAAATCAAAAAGGTTTTGTATGCCTCTCAAAGAATTCAAACTCAAAGAATACTAAATGAAAAAAATGAAACCTTCTTAATTTACCCCTCTCCCCTTAGAAAAACAGTCTCTAAAATAAAAAATGGATTGTTTTTATTGTTAATCAAATTTTGCCTAAGCAGTTCAATGAGAGAAATTTTGAGTTCTGTAAGTTCTCTGCAAAGTTAATTTCACCAAATCATTGTGCTCTTCCCTAGCAGTGACCATGAGGGGAAACTATTTTCTTCTAGAATTTACATGTGAATAGCTCAAGACTTTTTTCAAAGTCAGAGAAAGAGGTATTGTATGCATGTACAGCATTCCATTGTCTGGGACAAACTACACATATTTAATTGTATTTTTACCAAGAGGTTAATAGCCAGCTTGATCTTCTGATAGCAGTCGATGAACTCCAGCTCAGTAGGTGGCCGAGACCGTAATGTCAGGACTCCCTCTATGATTTGAAATTGCAGAAAATGATTATGTTATTCAGGCATTTCCAAAATGCACATAAAACAAATATGCTCCTTTCCCAATTGCAAAGATGTAATTGTAAATAGTTTTTTACTTCAAGCAAATTGGTTGATATACTGAAAGAAATTTTTAAAGTGAACCCCATTTTAAAATTACAAAAACTGGGGGGCGGGGCTCTAACAAGCAAAAATCTACAACAGCTAGTTCCTGAAGTTGTGGTACCCTGTTTCAGAATGGCTTCCTATGGAGCCACCCTACACTGTGAACATCAACAGAAACACACAGCTCCAAAGCCTAGAAAGGTGAGGCACCGCTCTGCTCCTCTTTCCTCCCTTTTCCAAGCTAACAGACAGGCTGGAGACTGCACTGTCCACTCCTAACTCTTTTCTGTGAAGACTGGAAGTTCAGGGAAGTAGCACTAAGAAAGCAGGAGCCGAAAGCATTGAAGAATGGAGAGAGAATTTTAACAGTTTACTGGGAGGTGTTTATATTCACATGTTCAATGTGTTAAGGTAAAAACACTGAGGGTTTTATACTACTAGGAAGCTAAATGCACCATTTTGCAATATAGGCTGTGTGTACTAAGAAAATGCAATCTGAGCATATGATGAAAAAAAGCATAAAGCAAGATAGCTTCTAGAAAAGCTGCTTGTTAAGGAGATCTAAATTTATGTACATATCTTGACTTTACTGCTTCTTCCTTTCACACTCCAGCTCAGCTGTAGAGGTACTACAAGAGCCTGATACCAGGTAAAATTTAGGAATTTTTATTGCTTGCACATTAAAAAAATATACATTTGATGATGTATTAATGATTACATAACTGCATGTCTGTCTGTTTGGATCTTTTATATCTCTTAAAAACACACAAAAGTAAGGATGTAGGAGAACAACACATAAAATCACACAAACTATTTAATTTTTGGTTTTAGGACGAAGTCTAGAAAACATAATCTGCTTACCACTTTGGTATGAAACTATAGAAACAGTGTCTGGAGTAGGGCGGTGGCACAGTAACAGTTACGAACCGATAATTACCTGCTGGCCCTTTCTTTTTATTCTTTTTGCCTTTCTTCCTTGCATTCAGCTGCTTGAAAGCTTCAGCTGCTTTTTGGAGTTTTGCCACAAAGAATTCTATGTCATCCAATGTGCAGTTTAAGCATTGCTGTAATAGAGATGCAAGTATTACCATAAGAAACTTCATTACAAAAATGGAAAAGACACAAATAACACCCTGACTCTCTGACTCCAAACGATCCTCTTATCCATGAATAAGGAAACTACATCAATTAGATTTAGCCAAAAATTGTATGTACAGGGAAACCTACAAAATGAAACCTTCCCATTCCTAACTGCAACAATGGCAATACATCAATAGCCTGCTTTAAGCTACCTATAGATATAAGAAGCATTGCACTTTATGATTTTTCACATTATATATACACATTAAAGGATGGTGACACACAGGATCAAGTGACATCTTAGGAGGTTATGAATGAGCTGGCACCCTCAGCTGGTAAAACTGAGGGCAAAAGTCTATATCCAACCTAACGAACAGGTAAAGTTCCTGAATAAGAGTGACACTATACTGATAAAGCACATATACTTGCTCCCCTGCACATCATACGACAGTCTGTCAAAAGAAAGATAAGTTTGTTTCATCTACATCTATACAGTATTTGAATGTTTACAAGTATATAAACTGAAGTATTTTATATATATATATATATATATATATATATATATATATATATATATATACACATACACACACACTGCATATTGTATATTATATATATATATTTTGTATAAATGTATATATATATATACTATTTTTTATAAATAATAAAATAACAAATAAACATTTAATAGATGTGCAATCATGACATACATTTTGCTGAGTAACCTGGATTGAAAATCCAGATGGATCTACGTGTGTAGAGCAGTTAGGGCATATTCCATCCCATTCAACTATGCTTTCTACTGAGGTCTATTAACAAAATCAGCCATTCCCAGCAAAGCAGCAAGTCAGCCTGATGAAAATATGGAACATTAGCTTATGAACCATTCATATTTCATATTTACCTTTCTAATAATATATAAAAAATAGAATTGCTATTATAATCTCTGTACATATTAAATACAAAATTAAATAATGTGAGGGAGAGCAATATCTATAGGGGGAGAGGCCATTATCAGTGTATATTCCATCTTACAGCTGCATTTAAATGGTATTCACTAAAAGCAGGCAGCAGTGTGGAGCTTTCAGTGTCACATGGGGTTCTGTCTGTTTAACTCTGCAGAGAGCACACAGCAGAATACCTACAGTAAACCCATACTACTGCTTTTTAAACCATTCTTTATTGTAATTTTTTTCAAAAAATAATGTTTAACGAGAAACATAACAAAAGTTGAACTTTCTGTGATATTATTTTTGCTATGTTTCAATGTACAGTTATGGCCAAAAATATTGGCACCCCTGCATTGTATCAGATAATGCACCAATTTCGCCCAGAAAATTGTTGCATTTACAAATGTTTAGGTATTCTCATGTTTACTTCTTTTGTTTGTATAGGTATGACACAAAAAAAGTGGAGAAACAAACAGCAAAATCTGACACATTCCAAGCAAAACCCAAAAAATGGACAAAATTACTGGCACCTCAATTTAATATTTCGTAGCACATCCTTTGGAAAAAATAACAGAAATCATTCGCTTCCTGTAACCAGCAATGAGTTTCTTACACCTCTCTACTGAAATTTTGGACTACTCTTCTTATGCCAACTGCTCCAGGTCTCTCAGATTGGAAGGGTTCCTTTTCCCAACTGCTGTTTTGAGATCTTTCCACAGCTGTGCTGTGGGATTGAGTTCTAGACTCATTGCTGGCCAGTTCAGTACTCTTCAGTGCTTTGTCTTAAACCATTTCTGGATGCTTTTTGACATGTACTTTGGGTCATTGTCCTGTTGTAAGACCCATGACCTCTGACGGAGACCCAACTTTTTGACACTGGGCCCTACACTGCACCCCAGAATTCTTTAGAAGTCTACAGATTTCATAATGCCATGCACACAGTCAAGACATCCAGTGCCTGAAGCAGCAATACAACTCCAAAACATCAGTGAATCTCTACCATGTGTGACTGTATTCTTTTCTTGAAAGGCCTCATTTCTTTTTCTGAGTAAAATGAAGGGCTTTACCAAAAAACTGTAATTTTTGTTTAGTCTGTCCACAGCACGTTCTTACCAAAGGATTTTGGCTTCCTCGGGTAAGTTTTGGCAAACTCCAGTCAGTCTTTTTTATGTTTCTTTGTCAGCAGTGGGGTTCTCCTGGGTCTCCTACCATAGAGTCTCTTTTCATTCGGATGGTGACATATAGTGCAAGCTGACACAGTTGTACCCTGTGCCTGAAGGTCAGCTTGAATTGGCCTGGAAATTGATCAAGGTTCTTTATCCACCATTCAAACAATCCTTTGTTGCAATATTTGATAATTTTTTCTCTTTTGTCCACATCCAGGGAGATTAGCTACAGTGCCATGGGCTGTAAACTTCTTCACAATGTTGCACACAGTGGACACAGGAACATTAAGATCTCTGAAGATGGACTTGTAACCTTGAGATTGTCCATGCTTTTCAACAATTTTTGTTCTCAAATCCTCAGACAATTCTTTGCTGCTCTTTCTCATCTCCATGCTCCATGCGGCACACAGACACACACAACAGAAAGGTTGAATCAATTTTTCACCATTTTAACTGGTTTCTGGTGTGATTTCTATATTGTCAGCACCTGTTAATTGATACAGGTGAGTTTAATTACAAATTACTGGAGCATCTCAAACTTGGAATGCAAGTATTTCTTACAATTTTGAGTAGGTGCCAATAATTTTGTTCAGTCCATTTGTGGGGTTTTGCATGGAATGTGTCAGATTTGGCTTTTTGTTTCTCCACTTTTTTGTGCCACACAATAATACAAACAAAATAAATAGACATGACTCGCCATGACTGTATACTACTGCTTTTTAATTGTATCCCTATATGTCTATAGCCTACTTTAGAACGTTTGAGATGCTCTTTTTTTAGGAAAAGGGAAAAATGGTTGTACTGCCCATCAGCATCTTATTATCATTTTCAAATATTTATTGATAACCACGCAATAAAGTTGTAGTGTCGCTTACTGTTTCTCTTTCAATTTTTTTTGCTAGCGCTTCCCTGGATTCCTCTTGCTCCTGGGAGATGTTACTTCTTCGATCAAACTCTGCCAATGAAAGCAAAAAAAAAAATATATGCTACCATCTAGAAAATAAAAAGCTGTAGATACTCTGTTAGGCATATGAAACAGTTCTTATTTATTGCATATTTTTGCATGTCACAGACCTCACGAAATTAGCCCGAAAATTTATGAGCAACAGAAAAAAAGGTACTACACTTTTACTTTACCCAGCGGTCACATCAAAGCCGATTTTGAAATCGTGCGACTTACAGTGAAGTCGCACGATTTTAAAATCGGGTGACCTGCCAATTTCATTGCGATTTGCAAGACATCTGACACAGATGTCTACGCAAATCGCAACAAAAGTAGTGCATGCACTACTTTAATAATAGGTGCGGCTCTGACCAAGTCGGAACTGCAACGATATGACTGCTCTAATAGCGGACAATAGGGTGTGACGTGGCATACGAGTTGCGATGCATGTAAATCGCATGCCAAATCGCACCTGATGTGAACAGGGGCTTAATAGAATAATCAAGCATGTTCAATATGGTGAGGAGAAAAATATATCAGAATATACTTTTCGGTTATCTGATTTCTGTGAAGAGAAACCAGATTAGTTGCTTTTTGACATTCTAAATGTACTCTTCAGTTGTTTTTGAGACTTACTCAGCCATTGATAAACATTACAATGTATTTATTCAATCTCTGTACAAACTAATTTAGATTTACCAACAACTAGGCTTTACAATGGACTACCTGGATCAGAATGCATTCAGTGTATATTCAAATTGTTAGGTCCGTGTGCTACATTATTGTTGGTAATGGTAAATTAAATTGTACAATCAGATTGCAACATACATGGCCATTTAAAGCCAAACTCTAGGCAAACAAATAAGTACACAGATGTCTAGGAGCTGATTTTCTTGCATGTTTTGTTTATTTTGACCATTCAGTCATGGGATTTATCAGCCCTGATACACAGCCATCTCGGTGACCTGACATTTCTCTGCTGCATTTAAGCAACACATTTTGGTCACCTCCCTTCCTGGCATATGATTGGACAGTGGAAGAGCAGCAACAAATACATGAGGCCATCTCTTCTTCCTACTTCTGTCAGAATGCTCCTTTTCAGCACATGTGAATGCAGGACACCTGATTAGCTGCTAGTGCTGCCTCTCCATTTCCTAGTATAACTATTGCTGTACAAGGGTTTAAAAGTTGCTGAAATTTGCTGTTCAGGTATTTATACTAGTTGCATTAAAAATAAATATAACACATTTTAATACATTAAAGATCCATAGGCATATAAAATTGGTATTTTTACGATATACAGTATATGGATGGAGTTCAGCTTTAAGAGTTTGAAGATTGTAAATTATATTTTACCAATCTCATTGGCTGCAGCTGGTGACATCACACGATTTTTGTTATCTCTGTAGGCTGGTTTGGGGGCAGTGGAGGGTGGCAGGATTGATTCTCTTTGCTTGATTTGCTCCTGGTTAATTCTACAATCAGAAATAACAAATTCATAGCAGTCACAAAGATATATTGTTGTTTCACAGAACCACATAAGAAAGGAACAAAAAGGCATTTATCCTGTGGCCACCAAGGACAACTTAATAGAATCAGAGCTTTCCAGTATGAATGAAGTACCTCCCAGTATGTGCTATATATACACTATATTGCCAAATGTATTGGGACACCCCTCCAAATCATTGGATTTAGGTGTTCCAATCACCTCCATGGCCACAGGTATATAAAATCAAGCACCTAGGCATGCAGACTGCTTCTACAAACATTTGTGAAAGAATGGGTCACTCTCAGAAGTGTGGTACCGTAATAGGTTGCCACCAGTGCAATAAGTC